ACACCTCAGGAGCTCTAAATTATTCATCCGTCCATCCATGTAATTACCTCCATTTATTATTCGAGACTAATATGAGAAATCATCAATGATGTTTCCTGCCATCACCTGCACCAATATATGAGCACTGACAGCACAGGGCGTCCACGTTTGTATGATTTTACTTCTATGAAAAAGGTGAAAAACCTTGATTTAAAAAAGAGCTGCACGATTAAAAACACAATCTATCTATGAAAGAGAACTTTTATAACAGCAAAATATTCTTCTTTCCACACTTTTGTGACACAGAAAGCCATAAAATGGCTGAGGAGGCAGCTCTAAAAATAGCTTAATGTTTCCTCAAACTCACAATAAGCAATGTTCCCATGCCCTCAGTCTCCAAGGTGACAGTACGTGCTGAATTTCTTTATCAGATACCCATTGCCAGGAAACACTGCTAAACAAAGGCCCCATGGAGAGTTTGATTAAGACGTTTCTGGTACAGATGCACAGAGAAACAGTCTCATCTGTATCATTAGCATGTAACAGCAGAAAGAGGTAACAATGGACGCAGATCCATTGTATTTATGCATTTAACACAAAACAAGAATAATAAGTGTTTGAGAAGCTGTCATTTCTTCTTCTTTTTCAGGAGTCTGGCCTACAACAATCTGGAGACTCTGCCCAAAGATTTGTTCAAGGTCTCGAGGCATTGACGAAAGTGTGAGTTTAAGTTCTTCTGTATTATCTTTAAAAAAAATTGCACAGTGTTACATAACTTACAGAGTAATGTATGCCATCGTGGAAGATGAGTTCTTCTATATATAGAACACTTTGTCATTATTCCACTGCAGCCGAGGCTTGAAAAATGTGTGGGAGGTGCTTTTAACACCATTAAAATTACATGCGGCAGTGAGGAGAAGATGGTTTGCAATCCATCACACCCGAAGATCGTTAGCGCTATTTTATACTCCCTCTCAATATTAATAAGAGCACAGATTGAAGCGCTGAAGGCCGGATAGCAAAGCCTTCATGACTGTATTGTTTGAAAATGAAGCCGATATATTGAGCTGAAAGCATTTCTGTTAGATCTTGAGGGGAATGTGGATGTAAATTTGGTGGATTTCTCTTTTTCAGAGACCTTCGAGGGAACCAGTTTACCTGTGACTGTAAGCTGAAGTGGTTGGTGGAGTGGATTTACAGCACCAACACCACAGTGGACCAGATTTACTGCAAAGGCCCGGCCTCACAGCTGGACAAGAAAATCAACGACCTGGCGCCACAAGCCTTCGACTGCATCACAACAGGTGCAGTACAAACACCACTGCTTTTGCCATTGTTTTAAAGTGTGACTTTTTAGAGCAAATTTTGTCCAAGATGCTGACTGACAACTACTTTAGCATGTCCCGTTAGATCATTGCAGCCCTTTGATGTGTGCACTGCACTCCTGCTTTATCCTGGCATGGTCCGGAGAAGGGTGGGGGGGTAAGGTTATATATAACACCCGAACTGAATTAAGTATTTCAAGTTGCAAGAGCCAGATGTCAGAGACGATTATCTCCTGCTGTTAAGAGTTGGACATGAGTTAGGCAATTCTGGACAATTTCAGGATGTCTGGACATGTTCAGGAATGAAGTATGAAATGGAAAATAGATGTTTTCCTTCACTAAGAGCTGTTAAACAGTCTAAATTGAAGTTTCAGAACTCTTCTCTTTTCATTACATGGGTTGAGTGTTGCTTCTATAGAGGGATGTAACTACAATTAACTGCTACAGCCACTACAGACGACCTTGTTTAACCTTGAGAAAATTATATAAATACATCAAATAAACTTAAAGAAAGTATATTCTTTAAAAAGAAGGACTTGGGTCATGACTAAAGCTCAGAAAAAAATTAACCACATGTATTGCAATAATGAAGCCGCCCTAGCAGAGCTAATTATCTGAATTTTAGTAATTCTATGCTAGCAGAGGACAACATTACAATTGTGGTTAATGGAATCAAGTAAAAACACTCTCAAATATCAATGAAAGGGAACTTACGCTTACAGTAGCTGCACACAAAGACAACACTGGAGGTTAATTGTCAAGAATTAACCATATGAGCATGTAGTAGCACATGGCACACAGCATGAAAGTCCCAGTTGAAAAGGGGTCCGCTTAGGTGCCCAAATTATGCCTTACCATGAATGTCCAGTAAGGTGTGCTATTGCATTGCCTGAACAAAATCATAATCCAATCTCTTGACCTTTTTGTCTTACAGAGTTTGCTTCCTACCAGTCCTTAAGTTTGAATCCATATCTGTGGAGGCCTTTTCCTTTGAGAGTGACCAGTATGTGGTGTTTGCTCACCCTTCATTGGGAAATGCAGCTTTCTGGAGTGGGATCACGTGGAGATGGTCTTTAGAAACTATGATGACATTGACAGTAAGTGGGCTACAAGTTGAAAATAGGCTGTTTTGTGAGGAAGTTTACAGGTAAAGGTGTTTCAGTACCATTTTCCCCTGCTGATGGTGATTGGTTTCAGGTCATAAGTATTGTACACATCAAGTGCTCACTTCCTTTTTACTGCACTGTTGTTGTTTGTAGTTTTCACTGGATAATCTACCAGGAAGCAGTCAAGTTTTGGTGGGGCTAATGAATCATGGTATCAGATCGGTATTACTGTATTTAAAATGAGGGTATACATTTTGAGGAGAAGCCTTTAAAAGTGGAAGAAAAAATCTTCTTTAATCCTTTCCTTCTCTTTTCTAGGCACGTCCACCGTGATCTGCAAACCTCTGGTCATTGACAACCAGCTCTTTATCATCGTGGCTCAGCTGTTCGGGGGTTCACACATTTACAAGCGCGACACATCTGCCAACAAATTTATCAAGCTCCAAGGCATCGACATCCTCCAGATCCGCAAACCAAATGACGTCGAGACTTTCCGTATAGACGGGGAATCTTTCTTCGTCATAGCCGACAGCTCCAAGGCTGGTTTCACCACCATCTACAAGTGGAACGGCAATGGCTTCTACTCTCATCAATCGCTCCACCAGTGGTACAGAGATACTGATGTGGAGTACATGGAGATCTCCTCCAAACCTCACCTGATCCTGTCCAGCAGCTCCCAGAGGCCGGTCATCTACCAGTGGAACAAAAGCAGCAAGTTGTTCGATCGACGCACTGACATCCCAGAGATGGAGGACGTCTATGCCGTGAAGCACTTCCAGGTCAAATCTGACCTTTACATCTGTCTCACGCGCTTTATTGGCGACTCCAAAGTGATGCGCTGGGACGGGGCGCTCTTCAGGGAGCTGCAGACGATGCCCTCTCGAGGATCCATGGTGTTCCAGCCCTTCTCAGTCGGCAGCTGGCAGTATGCCATCCTAGGCAGCGATTACTCTTTCACACAGGTGTACCGCTGGGATGCAAAGAAGGGTGAGTTCGTCCACTTCCAAGAGGTGAACATCCAGGCGCCAAGAGCCTTCTCGCCAATCTCCATTGACAACCGGCAGTTCCTACTGGCGTCGAGCTTCAAAGGGAAAACTCAGATTTATGAGCATCTGGTCATTGACCTGAGCAATTGAGCCATTTTTTTAGATAGGTTATTTGACTGTTTTCTGAGATTGCTGAACAAAACGGAAAGGGATTCTTTCATTCTAACTTGAGCGAGGCAAAAATTTATCTTTTTCCTTTCTTAAATCTTCCAATGAAACAAGTGCATGTAAAGGCAACTGCATGTATCTCAGCCAAACCCCTTTGGCTGAGATACATGTGGAGTTCAATGCCTCTCAAGTTAGGATTAGACCCTGTATGTTGCCAAGACATTAATGCATGACCAGGGCCTCACACAGGCCGTCCCATTCTGATGAATGCAGCATCCACGCTCATAGATCCATTCAATCTTGCATCGGCCGGTAGGTTATTTTTCTGTGTGTTCAGCTTTTCATGTGACTCAGCAATGTTTATACATTTGTAATCTCATATATTTATCTACAAAATGTAATAATGAAATGGTACCTTTTAACCTATTAACATGTTTGAATGAACAAATCTGCCAAAACAAAAATGTTTACAATTTTTTTCTTTCTATCCACTTGTAAGCTAAAAAGATTTGTATTTGAGTGATACTTTTGTAAGTGTACGAGGGACCAGTCCAATTAAATACTTATTTGTTAGGAAGAATGATTTACATTTAAGTTTATTATTTTGAAAATATCAACAGATATGTTGTGAGAGAATCTTCCTGAAAAGTTACATTTTTACTGTCAATGATTTTTAATGTTTAAAGTATTGAAAATACAGTTTTTCATAAGAATTATTGGGGAGGTTTTTGGGGACATTTAGAACTATTTTCACACACTTAATGGACCTGAAATGAAAACAAAATAGAGGATATTGTTCATAATGTTTGACCTTTGACTAACATGTGTGCTGATTACAAACATTTTGTCATGATTAGGATTAAGTTATTGACTAATATCATGCTGTTTACAACCAATAAAGGTTTACATTGAAATGTTAACATCTCGTCTGAGCTTCCTGCTAGTTCAGTGTGAAATGCAGACACCGGGTCCTCAAGGCAAAACACATTGTCACGACTGTTTCATAGCTTGAAACTCTTGAGGAGATATTAAACGGTTATGAAGCAGACTGAAATGAATACTGATGTATCTGTATTACCAACAAAGACCATCATCATGAAGATTATTTCTATAGAAGTATTTTAGAGGCCAGTGTCACCTTTGTGTCAGATGAGAGAATTATCAGCACACTGTCAAACTGCATTTTGTATGTTTGTCCAAGCCAGAGATTCATTGTGAGTTACAGATAAAACACTTAGAATAAGAAGGATGAGATCTTTGTCAGAAAACACTACCTAAAGAGATCAAATTTTTCTTGCTTGGTTCAAGGGGGACGCCAAAATCAACAATTCCCTAAAGGTCCTCACAGGTGTTCTTTAAACCTGTGAGGACCTTTAAGGAATTGTTGATTAACCCTACCTGTATAATTTGATAACAAGAAATTAAATGAAAATATATACAAACAAATAAAATCCTTTTTATTTTCTCCAACAAAGTGCACGCCTCAAATCTACAAAGCAGCACATTACAATGTAATGGAATAAATACAACAAAATCTGCGGAGTTTAAAATGAAAAACAAGCAAGGAGATACACAAGTACCTGCATAATCACACTGGTGGCAGGATTAAATCAGGCTCTTCAGAAAGACTCCACAAACACTGCTTTTTTTTTTTTTTTCAAGTTGATCATTTTACTTTTCATGCTTTCTCAGTACTTTGGATAAAGACGTCCTGTCCTCCCCTCCTCTTTCGAAAGGAACCCGATTTGAACCCTGCCTTTTTCGTAAATTGAGGACTACCAAACTAACACGAAAGAAATACAGGTGCATACTCTCATGTTCATACACATCACCCTGGAAAACTTGTGCAACTGCAGCAGGATCTCCAAAAATCACCGACCTACTGCTGAGAGAAAATAAAGTGAACACATTTTCAGTTTGAACTGAACGTACTACTCAAGTCTATGTGGTGCAACTTAATGTTTTTTTCCGTAGGCAAATAAAATATAACATAAAAGGCAAGGGAGCACATCCCTTAATATTCAACAAAATAATTTAGTGCTCTTTAAATAAAATTAAAAACACTATTTTCATATGGTGGATCTTAAAAAAAATAAAAATAAAAACTCACAGACTGAAAGGATAATGGTTAGAGACATCAATTATATTAGGAAAGAACTCAAATCCCATGAAAAAAGACAGTATTGACAATTAAATTCTGTACAGAACGTAAAATCAATATACAATACAGTACCTGCAGATGTTATGCATACAGTACAATTCTCTTTTTACATTGTTTTAGTATGAGCTCCAGCCTGATCTATATACTGAGTTAACATAGGTGGAAAAGCGGCTATTTTTTAGCTTTCAGTTATTTTAATGGTTATTCAGCGAGGAGAGTAGATCTTGTAGTAGTAGGCATTTAGAAAAAGAGATTGGAAACATTATTGCAGAATGGTCATTTTCAGTTGCATACTGCATGTGTTACATGAATGTGTCCTTTGACGAGGAGCAGCGGGCCGATGACAGAGACAGAGGGCCGGACGGAAGAGAAAAAAAAGGGCGGGGTTTGCTGATTTTGCTGTCTCTCCATCACAGAGGTCAAACCTCGCGATATCTATCTGATCCACTACCCTGTACAGTACATTCATGGCCAGTATTGCACGTTACCAGCCGAGTCCACCCTGATTCTGCGCGGTGAGGACCTTCAGTGCTGAATTTTTGTCCTGTAAGTCAACACTAATCCAGTGATGAGATGAGACTGTAACCAGAGCTCAACAAAGACTGACTGGGACTCCATCTGCTCGTCACAGTTTGAGCTCGTTGGCAATTTTGCAGGCGATATTCTTAAAGGCGATGGACGTGCCTGATATCCTCTTAAAGCGCACGCCGTTGAGTGAGAGGCGGGGCAGCTTGCACACCTCCATCTCCCACTGGACCAGGTTGTCCTGGCGAGCGTCGCCATGGACGCAGAAAAGCAGGAAGCGCTCGCGCTGCTCGTAATCGCAGCTGTTGGCGTCCAGGACCTTTCGGATCTCCCTCATCATCTCGGCGGGCTCCATGGAGGAAGTGGTCTTCATGCTCCAGGTGAAACGCAGCGAGCGGGGCTTGGAGTCACGACCGTTGTCCTCCTTAGTTTCACCTGAAGCACTTCTACAACAATAGATAAAAGACAGAGGACAGAGAGAAAAAAAAACAGAGACGATGAAGGATGTAGAGGTGAGTGAAAGGTTTCCAGGAAATCTACATCTCAAGCAAATTCTCACCTTGGTGTTTCTGTCCTGGCACTGGCCTCTCCCTCACTAGGCACCCTGAAAAAAACCAGGAACACACACTGTTACTCCCATTTTAACACTTGTTTCCCCAACTGCTAAAAACACCAACCCATATTCACTGGACAAACAGAAGGGTGTCAGGCATCATGCCAGGAAAGAATCCACAGTCCTGGGTATCAGGGATCAGCACACAACGAGGTCACTGTGACGTCTCAAAGTAGATCTTTAACAATTACCAAATGCATCGTCCTGTCTACCTTTCCTTAATCCCCACTCACCTGCGAGGAGTGGAAAAGTGGCTCTCATTCTTATATTCAGGGTATAATGTGCCCGATCATGACTCTAAAGCTCAGCATGAAGAAAAGGGGAGAGTAAGGAGAGGAAAGCCAGCAACTTGAGAAGCAGATAACGTGGCTTAGCTTAGTACGGAAAGAAGCCGGTGAGCCGTGAGGTTTGTTTTTGAGGTGGACACAAGGGGAGGAAAATACACGGCATAACAAGGGTGTCAGTAGGTAAGGGTTTGGTGTAGTGGGCAAGTATGTAGGGAGTTAAAGTAACACGGGCCAAAGTCAGTCAAAGTAGGAACAGGAAGGTCTTTTAGGGTTTTTATTTGAACAGGGGGGACAGGTGCAGCAAGCGTTGTGTTCTCCTACCTCCGAGTTGACCTGAAAGACATAGCTCTATGCAGGGAGAAAAGGAGAGAAAGCTGTGAGCCTCTGCCAGGTGGGCCAGCGTGAAGGTGACACAAGAAGCCAACTGCTGTATGGATGAGGAGGCTATATCCTTTGGCTGTCATACTGACAGCAAAGGGTAACCGTGTGGATGTCGAAAAAGCTTATTAAGGATCTGGGATGTATAAGGGGACCGCTGGTTCTAAAAAGCAGACAGAGTGTGGATGTTTTCCCTGCTGTATAAAGTACAACTGATCATCTGGACATATTTCACCTGGTATATTCTAGAGCTTACTTGAATTTGAAGGTTTAATTTTAGCTTTTAAGCTTGACAGAGACAAACAAATGCAAGGCTGCTTTATTTATTTCCATACATGTATTTTTACTTTTAATGCATAAAGAATATCTATCTATACCTTCTCAATTTTAGGATTATAATCAAATATTTGAACAGCTACTCAACCCTGAAGTAATGCAATAGCCATTAGCCTAAAATTAGCAATGACCTAGTTTAAGGGAAAAGTTCCAAAAAGCTCTTCCTATCACCCACATCTGTATATTTAGCTAATTAGCAAACAATGGTGACACTTATATTACAACTCATGTTCTGAATGCATGAAAATAGAATCTAAAATGTAGTATCCTTCTTTAGTTTTTCCCCCAGTTCAATTAAAGCAACAAACAGTTTAGTGTGTCTTAAATGTTTAAAAAGTGCACTCAGACATTCCTCTAATCTTAATCAGTATGAGTTTGATCCAGTGTTTCATCCAACTGAAAATATCATAAAACTATTTATCTCAAACCCTCAGACAGCACATGTATTAAAAAAAAAGAAATCCATGGGGCGACATTGGCCTAGTGGTAAGTTTGTGCACCCCATGTACTGAGGCAAGTGTCCTCAAAACGGGAAGCCGAAGTCGAATTCAACATGTGGCTCTTTTTCTCTCTCTCTCTCTCTCTCTCTCTCTTTCTCTCTCTCTCTCTCAGTTTAGACTCTCTACTGCCTCTTTAATTCACACATAAAAAACCTAAATGAACCTAAATGATGTAAAAACCCTGTGTACCACACGTGTAGTGGTTTGTGTTAACCGACCTGCGGACGAACTTGGATGTGATCTTGCTGATGATCCCGGTGGAGGTGCCCCTGCGTTGCTGAGCGAGAGCCCCCGTATCGTGGGACAGTGTTGGTGAAGCTGGGGGGCCGTTGTAGGTGGCGCTGCGCCGGTCTCTGAGCTGAGCTCCGTGGAAAGTGCTGCGACTGGTGGTGCCCCGAGGGAACCTGTTCTTCTCTGGTGTGCTAATACTGTGTGCAGATGGAGAGTTGGAGGGACCCCGCGGAGAAGGGCTGCAAGGTGAAAGAAACAAAGTGACACATTTGAATAGTCTTAAAGTCAGCATACCATCTTGGCCGTGCTTTCGCGTGAAAAATGACACACATGGGACTGTTCCAACAGCTTCCACATGACGGGATCAGGCTACTCACCTGGCTTTGAGCTCTGTGTTGTCGTCGATGGGGGGCAGTGTGCTCTTCGAAGCATGCCCTGACGACGACATGGACTTGGTGTGGCGAGGTCGTGTGGAGCCTATTGCAGTCGACGGGGTGCTCCCTGACACCTCCGTTAAGCTGAGAACCAAGGATGAAGATAGTTCATTAAAACTTGGCTGTTTGTAGGATCTTGTTAGTAAAATGTGCCTTTAAGATTAGACTTAAAGGCTTAATGTGCAACTTTTTGAGCCAGCAGATGTCTCCCTTGAGCACCAGCATGAAACCAAAACAACTCGAGCTGCATTGTTGTGTTAGCAAGACCTAAAAAACGCTTATGTGTCATTCAAACAAGCAGTGAGTACAGTATGTTATTCTTCTTTTTTCTAGTCCTTTTTTCTAGTTGGGGACTAGTCCTCTAGTCCTAGTCCCAACTTTTAAACGCAAGGGGATGAGCCGCACTCACCTGCTGTCTTTGCCATTAGGAATAGCTGCATAGCGGTCAGTAGAGGTTCGCTCACACACGTACGTGTTCCTGCGAGTCATTGATCCGTTGGTCTGTTTGTGGAGAAGAAACCATGCTTTCTGAGTACTTCTCATTCATATTATTTTCTATAATATCATATTTGTTGATTAGCATGATCTAAGGAATGTGTGAGCAGTTTTGACATCCACTTCCTTGTAATATCTAAGAACAGAACAATGTATTTCCCCCTTTATTTTACTCGTAGCGATTACTAATGTTGGGCCACGCAGGCTTAGAACAGTCATACAATGGACTTGGGCCTGCACCTCTGTAAAAGCCTCATTTGAGTTATTCACTGAGATCACAAAGAGGCCTAAAAGGACTCTTAATCCCAGAATCCCCTGCGGTACTTCACACCTACGTGTGAAGTAAAGGGGGGACCGGAACCTCTCTCTCCTCATTGGAGGAGACCTGAGGTAGACCCCCATGGAGCAGGCCAGGCTACAAAACTCCAAGACTTCCATTGCTCGACCTCTTTCACGCGCTGACCTTCGGTGCTCGGAGACCCAAGAAGATCTCCTGTTTCCTGCAACAATCTTCCTTTGTTTTAAGTTTTGGCGCGCAGGTAATCCGCGGCCGGCAGTGTTCTAAATTCCGAGCTCGGATTGTCCAGTGAACGCATCTCAGTTTCTCGGAGAGCGTCAGACTATAACAGATTATCAGAAAGATAACGGTCTTATTCCGTCCTGCAACGAAAGGACATCAAGGGACATCTTTCCACTCGACGGAGAACCAACGAAGCCGCTCTCGCCGTAAGGGACCCTCGCCGCCATCAGACGCCTCTGCACCAGGACGGACAGAAGATCTGCTCCATCGCCGGACTCTTTTCCTTTCACCAATCGCGGACAAAGCGATTCACAAGTGAGGCTTAATTAGGTCTGGGCAGAATTAGCTTTAGGAGTGTTTTTAACAATTGTTGATCAAAGCAGAAACTGTAATTTTTATCTTTGTTGGACCTGCGTCCTGAGTTTTAACTGTTTAAAACTCTTGTTGTTTCGGACCGCGGCGTCCTATATGTGTTTAGCGTAACAGCGTTATAACCGGGTATTACTCTTCTGATCAGAAAGGCCAGTGTAAGCTGTATTAACCTGAATTCGGCTATTGGTTTGTTTCTGTGAATGAAGGGAATTACTCCGAGTTGTGGCGCGGGAGTCGGACTGTGATCCGGCCTCTTCAGGCACGCATTTCTCTTTTATTCTCTTTTATTTCCCCTTCTACGCACACACATACACACATATTCCTGTGTAAACGTACATCTGGAGACCAACTCCACCACCGCGCCATTACGCACAGAGATCTATACACTCGCGGCTATCCAGACGCCTCAGAGACACAGATTGTGTAGGGCCGAACTCAGTCTCTTTTAGACCTTAAGGCCACATTTAGGCCTTTGTTAGGTGTGTGCCATCGGAAGGGCGACCACGTGGGACGAAGTAATCTTCCCCCCCCTTCTCTCTCCCTTTCATCCACACGTGCACACACCCAGGTCTTTGTTAGGTTTGCGCCATCGTGAACGACCACGAGGGTACGAAGCCATCTCCCCCCCTTTCTTCTTCCCTCTTCTCTCTCTCTCTCTCTCTCTCTCTCACACACACACACACACACACACACACACACACACACACACACACACACACACACACACCCCTTCCACAAGCCTTTGCTTGATAATGTTTGTTGCTTAGATTAGTTTATAATAGTTATTTGTTTAATTAAGTTCATTGATTTTGGATTGATGTTGCTTTGTTTAAATAAATTCTGTTATAATTTAAGAGAGCAGTTGTTTGTGGTTACTGGTGTATTTACATTGTGATATAAGCTGGGTGCGAAGGCTTTGTGTACGGATTTCACGCCTTCAATTTATTAAATATAGTTATTCATTATTAATAATATTAGTAATTAAATAACTAATTTGAGACTGATTTGAGTGATATTTTGGTTATATTTACCTGATTACAGGTTGGTGCCCCAAAACGAGATTAAACATAGTTTAATGATATTTTATTTATATTATTAATAATTAAGTATAATTATTAAAGAATATAACCAAAGTTGACTTGATACAACCCCAACAAATGGTGCCCCGTGTGAGGCCTTCAATAAACCAGCTTTATTGCACTGTAAATGCACAGTAATCCAAACTTAAAATCCTAAAAAGGATCCTTCGGAAGAAAATTATATTTTCTTTAAATTTTTGTGGTTTAAGCAAAGCAGACATCAAGCTGTGGCTTAGTTGTGTTTTATGTTGTTAGTTAATGGTTAAAGCCATAACTGTTGTCCCCTTTGGGTCCATACAACAATTGGACATAATGATGCAGCTAGTGTGACTTTATCAAGGAACTTGATTTGTTGCATTAATCTAGATTTTGATCCTGAAGTATTCTACTAAAGGATTGTGGTGCTCCTTGTTGTTTGAGAGCCATTTGGCCAGATGAGAGTGTAACCTCATCATTGTGCATAGCCAGCTGTCTGAGAGGTGTGAGTTCCTCCCTTCCTTTGAGGACTTGAGGTGTGAATCCCCTCTCCTATCTTCCAGGATAGACTGCAGTGATCAGTTGGGAAACTTAGATAAGATTTGCTCTTGTGTACCAAGACCCTAGGTGAGTCGGGAGCTGAGACTCCTTTTGGATCAGACGACGCAGCACTGCAAGAAACTGCTGCCGGTCTGACGAACCTCTCCTCAGAGGAGAGTGCCAACCTATATAGCTAGTCAATTAGCATTAGTGATAAGAAGTTAGAAGAGCTAGTTGATCTTGTCAACCACAGAGCCAGGCTCACCCCTAATAAAGACAGAATGTATGCAGAAGACATACATCAACTATGGGCCAAAGCTCACTATGGATCAGACGATCCACCCTTCAAGACGTAGTTGCTAATCTTATCCACCTCCCTATAGAGCAGCTCGACAGCCTGAACTCCTACACCCTCAGCACATGTGAAAAGAGACTAAAGGGCTTGGTTGAATATGCAAATCAACCAACTGGGAAGCCAACACGTACAGCTTCAGATGTTCTAGGCGAAATTCTCCTCCTTTATCAGCGCAAATCAAATGTGCAGAATGAGATACACCGGGAACAGCTAGCCCGGGTACTAGAAGAAGGACAGATCCTGCGGGACGACTTCGAAAGAATGCAGGATAAACTAAAGACCTTGCAGGAAAATTGCAAGGCCCTGCAGGAGGAGAATAAAACACTGCATGAAAGCAGCAAACTGGCCGAACAGAGAAACGAAGTGATATGGTACCCAGAGTTTCAGGACAGGCAGAGAAGGACTTCAGCCCCCAGATCAGATGAGGAAACCTCAGACGAAGGATGGGAGACTGAAACAAGCCCCTGGAGGAGGGAGACAGACATGTTGCAGGATCTGGAGGAGAGGGGAAGGCACCGCCGGGTCGACCCAGGCACAAAAGCGCCACGTCCTCAGACCACCCGGTAAAGAGTAGGATGAGTAAAGAGGAAGGGCCCCGCGTTCCGCATACGCTTTGAGCGAAGAGAACCCTCACCCCGCAGGATGAGAGGCTTTACTCCCCCTAGAGACAGGGAGGAGACACGGGCCCAATTGGGCACCGAACGCTACCTGTCCCACGATAGACGGCCACGTCTGAGCCGAACACAAACCCCGCCACGGTTACAACCCTACTACCGTGACAACCACAGGGCTTACGATTCATCAGACGAATCGGACGACCCTCGCCAGCCTTCGGGTCAGGGCCTGCGAACCAGGCAGATAGAACCTCAGGCCAAAGATCTGAAGCGTTTTGACCCAGATAGCCCAGATTCAAGTATTAACGATTACTTAGAGAAGTTGACCATTGTCTCCTTGACCTGCCTCATGCGTCCTCACATGAAAAACTGAAACGGATCTGGAAGACTACGGCTAGGAGTGTCCGTGATTTCATGGGGACACTCCCACCAAAGGTCCGATCCTTGCAGAAAGGAAACAAATCTGTTAATCAGCACTTACAAACTGCCAAGCAGAAAGTGTTGGACATGCTTGAATTAATTCAGGGAGCACAGGTAAGCATGGAGCAAGACACATCGTCAGGATATGACTCTGATCCTGGACCAAGCCCCTTAAGAGATCAAACAACCCTGCTGAAAAAGCTCAGTAAAGAACCGAGCAGCCAGGATAACCCAAGGACTGAGGAAATAAGTCTAGTTTTCCCTGATTTTGACTGTGGAGCCCCGCTCCTTGGGGAAACGCCCCAGTTCTCTGACAACTGTGACACCCTTTCACACCTTCACAGGTTTGAATCACCACATAGGAAGGGGGGTGACTTCTCAGCCCCAGAGGCAGAGATAACACCAGGCCCCTCCTGCTACCTGTAGGTTCCCATTGCAGGATTCACGGCTAAGGAATATCCAAACCTCAGATGACTGGGATGGCTCCCTTCTACCCAGAGATCAAAGAATGCGCATAAGGCTCATTGAATCTATGGCACAGGATGTAGAGCGGTTTGATCCAGATAACTCAGACCTCTGCATCGATGATTACCTCAGAGAGATTAACCTGTGTCTCAGTGAGGTACCTGATGCATCCACAAGAGAAAAACTCAGGCTGATCTGGAAGACAACTTCCAAGAGTGTCCGTAACTTCACGACTACCCTTCAGCCTGAGATCAGATACCAGTACTCTGCGCTCTGCAATGCTTTGCGCCAGGAATACTCCACCTACATTGACCCTGCATCTGCCCTTCTTAGTGCTTTCAGTGTCTTGCATCAGAAGCATGAGGCCCCCAAAGATTATTACTGGCGACTTAGATCTGCATATTTCCAGGGACGTAAGGCTCCAGGTTTGGAAGAGAACCCAACTTTCAAGTCCATCTTCATGCACAATCTGCATGGCTGCGTGCGTTCAGATGTCACCCTGCATAGTCGTACACATCAGCTTAGTATGAAAGAGATCAAGAGATTCGCACAGGCGGTTTGGCAGACACGCTTACGTCACGTGTCACGTGAGGGCAACAAGTTGCCTCGTGCTAGGAATAAGAGACCATATCACCGGCAGAATAGAGAACAGAGCCAGGGGGGTGAAGGTGGGACTCAACCACAGAGTAGGTTCCAGCCTGGAGAACTGATCACTACCAGATCCGAACGGAACTCTCGGGATGGCCGTAGTCTGAGACAGAAGGGTAGGTATAACCGGAGTTCCTACGAGCTCCCTAAGGACTCCCTCGCTTACAG